GTTATTCTTTTCTTTTCGTTTTTTTTNTTTTTTTTTTTAATCCAAAAAGCAATAAATATATGACAAAGAAACATTTTTTTTTTTAGATAAAAATTAAAATTTTTGAAAGTGAAAAGAACAAAAGAATATTTTAAAAGTAATCCCATGTAATTTTGGGATTTAAAAGATTTTGGAGATCAAAAATCAATATTGTGGAAAAAAAAAAAAAAAGGTAAGAGAATCATTTTACCACATTTTAGCAAAATGCGCAAATTTCCGAGCAAAGATTGTGATTTGAATGAATTTTGGACAGAGAATTCAAAGATATTTTTTGTAATTGGAAAAAAAAAAAAGTAAAAAAGAGATTTTGACTCAAAATTTAGCTGAATATTAATTATGAAATTCATTCCAGACAAATTCCATAAAATTCAATTCAGGTAATACTAAATTTAATAATCAATATGAACATCCAATTTTCATTATATCACTAAATTTTGACTCCACACTGGTTAATTTGATAGGAGGGGGGGTGGGAAAAAAAGAAAGAATTGATGGAAAAGTATTAAACAATTTTAACTTCTTTTGGTTATAATAAAAGTATGGTATTCATTTATTAATTCAAATATAAAATTTAATAGTGTGAAATATAAAAATGTCAAAAATTTTTAAGTCACTAAGATTAAAATCATTCGTAAATTTTGATTGCTTAAGAATGGTATAATCAGATGATAGCAATATGTTAAACATATAAAAATTATTGTTGTAATACGGAATATTTACACATATTCAAGAAAATTAACATTTTAATATTTGAAAAAAAAAAATTTTTTTTTTTTAAAATATACATGAAAAATTTTTAACTAAAAATGAATTAATTGAAACAAACTTGAATCTTGATTAGGAATAAATCCTGGTGGTGCACATCCATCAATAACTGCCGATATGATTAACGTAAGAATAATAATTGATTGTAGTGATATCATCAATAGTCGATTAATTATTTTAGCCAAATTAACCAATTCTCTCTTCTAGTTGATTGTAAAATTATTAACTAAAAATTTTATTTACATTTAATTTTTTTTCTTTTTTTATTTTAGATTTTCTTTTACTTAAAAAAAAAAAAAAGAAAGAAAAAAAAAAGATGCAATAAAAAATAAATTTAAAATTGAATCATACAATGAAATAACAGGACAATAACAAGAGTGGACAGTTAGTTCGTTTAGAGCGATATGAGGATAGGAGAATTTTTGATTGTCCACGCAGATATCATTAGCTTTTCATCCTCGTTTTACATCTATTTATGAAAATTTTTCCACCAATACTAGAATAGATCTGTTGGTAGGTAGTTGTAGCAGGATATACAATGAGAGAAAATATGAAAGCGAGGAAGAGGAAGAGAGGATAGTTAGTTGAAATTGATGGATAAAATGGAAAAAGGTTTATAGAGATAGGTAATACCTATTCAGGTATAATCCATGCATAGGGTTGGCTATCTATTATACAGCTGGTTATTATTAATAGGAAAAATTGGGAATAAATGATCTAGCCCATTACCCTCTTCCTCCTTCTCCTCCTTCCTCTTCCTCCTCCTCCTCCTCATCCTTCTCCTTCCTCTTCCTCCTTTCCTCTTCTTGTCCTCTTCTTGTTTCCAAGATTTCAATTTAACTAGATTTTTTCACTGACAATTTCACTAAATTTATCCATTTTTTGGATGAATTTAATAAAATTATTCCATAAAGATTTAGTTAAATTTAGGTAAAATGGGAAGCAAAAGAAGAGAAAATGGAAAAATTATGAGATAGAAAGGTAATGATAGAGTATACTCTCTCAAACATACATATATTTCCGGTTGAAGCTAAGTCAACAAAACAATTTATCAAATTTGAATATGAATTTATCGGTGTAATTATGTTCCTGGTTCCAATGATATAATTTGGCTTCATTTTAGATTGGCCAAATTATAGACGTAGAAGGTAAAAAAAAAAAAAAAAAAGAGAAAGAGAAAAAGAAAAAAAGAAAACAAAATGGCCAAGCTAATGATACTATAATTTTCAAAATAAAAAAAAATTTTCATTTTTTACTTTTTTTTTTTTAGATATGAAAATGCAAAACGATTGAATTTTTGATTTTAGTCCAAAATAAAACAAAAAAAAAAAGAAATTATAATAATGAAATTTAAAAAAAAAAAAAAAGAATTGTATAAAGAGATGAAAATTTTTACTGGAATGATTAATCGTTGTTTTCTTTTTTTTTCATTTTTATTTTTAAATGAAAATTTATTTTTTATTTTTTAACGACATAAATTTAGCATTTTGTATGGCAATCATTCATGCAATAACTGATGGATACTGTAATTACTATTGA